AACATTTGATTATTGTAACATTTTATTTTTTCCTGATAAACATTGACATAAATAAAAACAAATAAATTTGTTTATCAGAAACATGTAAAATGTTACATAACCAAATGTTTTGTGTGTGTGTGTGTGTGTGTGTGTGTTGTGTGCGCGCGCTTCAACTAAATTATTTTATTGTAACTACACAAGAATTTTGTCCATATCTAAATAAGAAATTAATTGATTCAACTAAATAGGTTTTTCAGAAAGTATAAGATTGTCTTATTCTTGAGTACAATTTTAAAATATCATAAACCAATCACAGTCATATTAAAAGCATTTTAAAATATTATGCTTAAGACAGTTAAAATAATAATGAATTGATGAATACCGGTCTGAAAGAAAAGTTTTTAGTGTTTGTGACTTATTGGTATGATAAAATATTATATGGTGCGTATATAAAATATAGAAGTTTCATTTTTATACAGTTATTATTACTATAATGTTAATAGTAATAATGATAATATTTATAATTCTATATAATTCATATACTATATAAAAGAATACGATTATAATTTTATAGTCATTTTTGGAAACAATCATTGCATATTTTTTTAGTATTTAAAAATGGAGTTTTTAATTATAATTTTATTAAGAAATTATAGAAATTATAGAAATACTAAAAATTTCTCTTCTGTCAGTATAAAATGTGGTTTATGGTAGCTGCACTTTATTTTTTTCAACTGTTCTCTTATATTGATACGTTTTTTTCTCAATTATTATAAACTTCATAATTAATTTATATTTTTCAAGACATTAAATATTATTATAGCAAAAATAACTACCGATGGCTCGTAACTCTTTATAGCACAAAGAACTACCGATGGCTCGTAACTCTTTTTACCGATTAATTTGTTTCATACTAATTATTATATTAATGATAATTTATTTTCATGTAATCATATTTTAATCATATTAGAATCTTTTTTTAAATTAGTATTATAATATCAATAATTATAATACCAATTTAAAATATTTATAATTTATTAATATTATATTAATAAATATAATCCTTATTACAAAAAATAAATTTTCTCTATTTACTCTAAATTTTTATATTTAAAAAATATTACTAAATAAGACAATATCCTCCAACTTATTTATTTAAATATTTTTTTATTTTAATTATAAATATACTTTTTTAATCTATTCTTAGCAATTAACATTTAAAAGCATATTTTTAATTATGAGAATTATTGTATCGACATCTTAGATCGATTAACGAAATAAAGTCATTTCATTTCTGATCAAAATCTATAATAAAAAGCGTAAGTACGTATGACAAAAATGTATCGGTAAATTAATGAATCGAGATGAAGACGATTCGGAGACAATGGCAAAGGAAAAACCAAATTACCATCAGATCATCGTCAACTTTTTTCACTTAGGCAGTCGGATCGATCAGTTATTTATATAATTCTCTGTATATATTAAATCGTGAAGAGCTTAATATCCCTAGCTGCGCTCTGTCTCTTTTTTTCAAGACATGTTCCTTTATTCGGGACGATTCTCTCGAATCTAGTTTCTGCGATGTATACTTATGCAGCGTAGTCGCTTTTTATACATCAGGTAGGACAGTGGATACGATCGACCGGCATAATTTCGCCATTCGCTTCGACGGCCGGTTATTTCGCTCTGTCGCGAGCTTTAAAATGACTAAAACGCAGAAGAGGAACAACCGCACGCAAAGGAACATCGCAGCAGAAACGAAATCGTCTTCTACGAAGGAAGAGGAAATATGTCGGAGGGAACGAAAGAAGATCAATTCGTGGCCATTTTTCAAGAGTCCGCTCCCGTAGAAACTTACGACAGCTCGTGCATCGCGACAAAAAGTCGCTTTTTCGTGGGGGTCCCTTAATGCGCGTTCTTTTTCGACGCTGCGAACGGCAAACGGATGAAGAAAAAAAGAGGGATGAGAGAGGTGGATGGGAGGGTCCGGGATTAATCGAAAGTCCGTCGGCGAAAATTGTTGGGATCTCGCACTCACGAGACCTTACGATCTGTCTGTTGCCGGTTGCTGCAGTGGTCGCCGTCACGACGTTTTGTCATTAGCCGCACTGAAAATTGATACCGGTCTGCGCCGCCGATTTAATTGACGTCAAATTGAAGCGTGGAGGGAAGATTGGATTCGCGAGAGCGACCACGCTCGTCGTGTTGTTCAGCAAAGAAAGGGAAAGAAGAGAAGAATGAAGACCGAGTGCATCTCCAACCGGCTAGTTTCCGATCGTCTTTACGACGTCATCAAATTTCACGATGAAAAGATCCTCCAATGGAATATTAAGTGCCGTTTGGTTAATAATGTCCTTCCCTTCTGTAGTCACTGGTACGATGTTTGATTATGTATCACGCTCCGCGTGAATTATCGCGCAGACGCTTGCTTGCTTATGATTTCTTACGTTCTTATTGATCTCTCAAATGATTTAAAGGACTAATAAAATAACACGTACAATGCGAACTCTTTTTATCCCTCTTCTTTGTTTTTGTCGGGAGAGAGGAGGTTTAGGGATTCAAACCTTTCTCGATATTTTTATTATTTATTTCATTTTGAGAGGGAAGCAATTTCTCGATAGCACACATCTACTCACATCGGTCGAGGAAGATGGGGGAGGAGAGGGGGAGAGAGGTAATAATTTTTCATTACTTTACTAATAAGAATATTTTATTTTGAATATTTTTTTTTAATATCACAAGTATTATGTTAAAAAGATTTTATTGGGTCATTTAAAAAGTATCCGCGGTTTTTTTCATTCAAAAATTGAAGAAAAAACTGCGGATACTTTTTAAATGACTAAATAGTAATATTTTTAAATGCTTTAGAGGTTTGGAAACACTCTTTTAAATTATTTTAAAACATTTTGTGCTAATATTTTTAAAAACATTTAAAACATGTGTTAGAAATATTTTTAAAAATTACTTTTTTATCGTTTAGAAAACGTTTTCTAAAATATTATCAATATATTTTTGAAATACTAGAACAATTTCAAAAATTTTAATCAAATTTTTTTTTTAATTGCTTTCTTATGGCATAAAGCTAATTAGTGCAAGTGCCGTTTTCATAAGCGATAAAAGCTGTGCTCCAAAATTTACTGTCAGTATTGAAATCTGTAGTTTACGTTACTTAAGAGTTTTAGTTACTTCAGCCATATATCGCTTTAAAACACTTGTAAAAATAGTCGAAGACTATCCTTATCTCCCTTGACAGTCAGTAAATAGTCGTAAAAGGTAAAGTGCGTTTACTACTCAATTCGCATACGTAGCCTATTTTCACTTCATAAGCTTTTTCGACTCTTTACTATCAGAGAAGATAAGGAGAGTCTTCGCCCATTTTTACAAGTGTTTTAAAGTGATCTTGTTTCTCTCATTTCGTTTAATCCAAATCCTCTTTACTTATAAATAGTATGAAAGAAAAATCAATGTGATTTCTCGCTTATGACGTCACGATCCAATATGGCTGGAGTGAGTATTCAGGAGTCTTAAGTACTTTGTTTTATGTTTTTGAAAGAAAATTGTTTCTTAATTTTAAAAACAAACTTTATATTTTGTTAAAAAAAAAAATTTAATTTATTTTTTATATTAATAGAAGTTTGTACATGTATTATATATAATAAATAAAAGTAAGTGCAATTGCAAATTTTGTATTTTTTATTTTAGAATACTATTCTAAACAGTAAAACTAAATAAGTAACATTTCTAAAAGATTTCACAAATATTATTGAATATATTTGAATGAAATCTATTTAAAATTTTTGAAAATATTTTTTTTACATAATCTGGCGGACATAGAAATATTTTAAAAATATTTTTTGGAATTATTTTAAAATACTTTAATCTTTCTAAAAGATATTTTTAAAATATTTTGGAAATTTGTGCTGTGTGGGAAGATCATATAAGTAATTTTTAATACTTCGTTAATTCGAGCATACAATAACAATATTAAAGAATTAAACATTTTGCTTATATTAGTAACTGTATTGTCCTTCTTTAAAAAAAAATCTTTAAAAAAGTAAGTAAAAGTTACGTAATGTATAAAACGTAACATTTTTTTTCAAAATGAAGTACAAAGAGATATTAAAAGCTATAAAAATATCCAAATAAAATTCATTAACGTTAAAAATTATTGTAAATGTCATAACAACAAAATTGGTGTAGTGACGTTCGTTTCAATACAATTTGATTCAACAAAACCTTTTTTTTATCCTCATTCTGGTCGGCGCATCCCTGAAATAATAGAACTCCTCCCTTTCCTACCTCCTAAAAAAAAATTCCACGATGTCTATGGCTCTTGTTATATCGCTCCTATAATATAAGAATACAAAGTGTTTCGCTCGCTGATACGCAGTATTAGCTAATCCATAACTAATCAGAAAATTAGCTTAAAATGTTATGAGTCAATATAAAGCTGCTGTTAGAAACTACCAACAAAAATTTGTCCCAAAATTATATTTCCGATCGCAGCTATGCACAATGAAACATCTTGTATTCTTATTATAATCGATCCTTTTAAAAAATAACACAATTCAAAAAATTAAGTTTTCTAGAAGGAAAAAAACTATTTTTTAACTTGACAGAAAATTATCGAATAATCAAATAATATCGGCAAAAAGAATATATCGTTAAACATGATCGAACGTCATTTTTATCTTGTCCTTAAAAAAACAACAAATCATTTTTTATGTTGTGATGTTTTTTTTTTATAAAGTTAAGTCACTTCTGATTATTGATATAGTATCCAATGTTTACCTCTCATAAATCAGTTTGTTAGTTGTATCATTTTTGAAGTAAGGAACACTAATATTATCTGCTATTAATATATTTTTCACCTGCGTGTAAAACACTTTCTCGCAGGAAAGTATTATACTTGCGCAATAAGTGTTAAGTTTTTAATATTGCGATTCAGCATTGTTGCACGTTAATGCGATAATCAAAGCAAATCGAGTTTAATATATGTGGCTTGCCGTTCGATGCGATTAATTCGCGATCCGTAGATCCGGATTCAATCCCATCTGCGCCCACATATGTAATTTTTTTGCATTTAAAGAACCGGAAATGGTGATTAGAAATCTTTGATCGTCAACGTCGCTGAGATCCGGCGTTAAACTGTAGGTTTCCATACATCAGTAGATATATGTTTGGATCCTCCAGGCATGTTTGATTAGATATTAAACTATAACAATCTAATTCCGGAAACAAATCTATTGTTACGAAAATCTCATGAAAAGCAAGCTCTATCCCGTCTTGGGATGCTGCTAAAATGTTTGCTCACGACGTAGGATATCACGTTCATCGATGAAATGATCGAATGAGGCTTTCTGCCGTGTGCATGTTTTTTCATTTTAGGGATGTCATGTGGCTCTATGTAAGAGCGACAGATTCGTAATCAACAAAGCGAGTTCAAATCCTGCACTCTCTATATATACGAGAAATTTGGAAATCCGTTTCTGATTTCGTGAGAATCACAGGGAAACTCTCTTTAGATCTCTGACTTTTTGACTAGGTTCAGAGATATAAGAACTGATAGTCCTACTCGTTACTATTACTATTACTAATACTATTTCCATAAGTACGCAATATATGTATCTCGATGATTTATGTAACGCTTTCGCTTTCTCCATTGTAGAACTTAAGTGAACAAGTTTTGACAGCGACCATAAACACATGAATAATTGCGGCTTAGTTTCTGAAACGGTCGAACTTGTTATCATGATTCACAGTAAATCTTCTTCATGATAAAGAAATCGAGGTTTGTACCGGTTGAAGATTGCACGTTATTCGCGGCGAAATATAACGGGAAGTGCGGTTCCCTATTATAAATGTTACATAAATGTTCGCGAATGTCGATGAAATTCACAGGGAAATGACTAGCCGTTGACTCGCGGTTACGCGAAGAAGAAGAATGCCTTTTCTCGCGCGAATTCTCGTGATGCGTGCAAACTCGTGCAGAAATGAATTCCGCATGAGCTGAATTTAAATCCATACAATCAAGTTGATTACATAATAATGCTCGCACTTAATGTACTTAATGCCGTAATGGTTTTACGTAAATCGAATTACTGGCAACTGTCTTTACGGCACGTCTATTGTTGTATTTATTATACGTTTATGTATGCATCTCAAAACTTTTTATTTAACTTTTTATTTAACCACAAGCAATATGATACAAATTTGAACACCGATGAGAATAAATAATCTAATTAAATAAGAGAATTCCTATATTCGGATCAAAGCGGATCTTAGTATTTAAATATTTCTGTGTGAATTTTTATGTACATATCCGATTCTTCCGATGAGCAGAACCAGAGTAGTAATATCATTTATGAAGTTGACAAGCAGTTTAATAATTTTTATTTGCTAATAAGCATCTTTATAAGAATATTAATAATCAGATTAACGAGAATCTTAAATCTGCGTATCATTTTATTGCGAAAAATATTGCTTGAGTCTGGATTTAAACCTGGAATTCGCAAGTGTTAGCGATTATCGTTTCGCATTGTTGCTATTGGCAATTACCTTCCGCATTTAATATCTTTCGACAAATTGCTGCAGAATATTACAAGAACTGGGGTATAAAACAACAAAGTCAAGACCTCGTCGCGGATCAATGCAATCGCAATAGCGCGGTTTTTCGGCTTACCGTGAATCCTCAATTTGCGTCGATTAATCGCTTGAGCGTCAATTTCGTGTCGAGCGTATGTCCAGTCAAGTGACGTAAATGAATACGTCGCCAAAATAAAAAGCATAAACCCAGCTGTTTTCCCACTATCCTAATTGTCTAATTGATCGAACTCGATAATCATTTCGTTACCTTGCCAACATTGATATTATCAGGACAAAGTAAAATTTCGTTTTCGCACGCAATTATTTAATAATATGTAAAAGAGAGCGTCAGTTTAAGAAATGCTTTCCAAGAATTTCATACTTATATGTATTACATAATATTTTATGATTATTTTGACACAAATTTAATAATTTTCGCGAAAAAAAGAAAAATAAAGATTTATTTCAAATCAGAAAATATAATCATATGTTTCTTTTCATAAGATCACACGTTTGTGATTTTATTATAATTACATTAAACTTTCTTCCTTAATTAAGAAACTGTACTCTATCCTTCAGACAAAATATTACGTGTATGATGAGTGTAAAATAAATATCAATAAATACATACAGTGAATGGATAAATTATAGATAGTAAGAATTGTAGATAGTAAGAATTACAGTGCAAGAATTGTTTCCCGGTAGAATTGAGATATCTTCGCGCTGCAATCTCATTCACACGTAATCAGACTCACACGTATGTCTTGATGAACATGCATTACCAGCGGAGTATGCCGCATGACAAGACACCAAGTGACTGTTCTGCAGTCTATGCACATACGTATCACGAGATACTTTTACTTCTTGCGCAAACGTCTCGCTATTATATCCCGTCGCGTCGTTACGTGCAATTTGCATTTTCCATTGAGGTGACGCGTGCGCGCTTCCGTTTTCACACACTCGATGTGGAAGTCGACATGGATCGTCGATTGGAATAGTCTGGTGGACCTTGCGAGCTTCGAAGAACTTGATCGAATGATTATCGAGTTCACCTACAATATTCTGTTTACGTTATAAATAGTCGCGACGCATGATCGACATACCACAGCGATAATAGTCGGCTTGCCGCAGCAATAATTATCGTCTCGATAATCTCACTATATAATTGTATAATCGAGAGCGTTATTATGGTATAATGTTCGAACCAATTTCTCCTATCGACTCACGTGTTACCATTCAAAAAGAGAACAAATATACGCTATGTTTTATTTTTGTATATTACAAATTAAGGCAAGAGAGAGCTACTTTTATCATATTGAGGAAAAAGAGAAGACATTAAGAATAAGTAAAAAAAATCATGATCGATTTGAAACGTTAACGTAATGAAATGAATGTTTTTCTTTTAATGAAGTAAAGTAAGTTTTTATTGCGAATAAAAAATTAGTCCAACTAAAAATTAAGAAAATAAAACTTCGACTTTGAACTAGAAAAAATATTTATGATAATTTCCTTCTTGACAATCTTGATAATTTCCTCGTCGTCCGTGAATATACATGGAGTGGCAAATTACAGTTGCTAATATATCATTAGAACTTCAAGGAGGGCGAAAAGAATTCGCCCTTGGAAGCTTGATCTCTCCTGCTCGATACACTTGGCTGATTATATTACTATCGCTAATCATTCGCTTCTACAATATGTGGAACTTATCCTCGATTATGTGATACATATTAATAAGACGTAAATCACTGATTGATCTACATTTTTTTATAACATAATTTAAGATTGTAATTTTCGCGAGATTATCGAAAAGAAAAATTAACTTTCTTCAGTATAATTGCAGCAAGTCCATGCCATCGCTAGATGAGAATAATCTCTATATTAAAAAATCGGTACGAAGAAGAATATAAATAACAATTCTTGTCGGTCGACAGTCTAAAACTAGACTTAATGGAATGATACCGGTTTAATATTTCCGGCTGAACATATGCGGAAACGTTTGCCGACAACTTCTCGAAATGGCCAGCGGCTGATAGATGAGGTTTGCTAAGAATTCTCCTAATTATTCCCGACGATGGGATGACTCGCATCTTTGTTGCATTCGGCGCATTCTTCTTTCTCCGCGAAACCGCCAAAGATACATCGCGACCGCTGGAAACGCTATCTCTGAGATCACCGACCAGATCTACAAGATTCTTTTAACTTGTCGCAGGACTCGCAGTATGTACGACGCGGGAGGATGCATGCCCTGAATAACGTGTTCATCGCTGACTGTAATCCGTTTCGACGTAGAGACGCAATCGCGTTTACGCTCAAGACTACACAAAGTCGCATGATGATCACTTTTAATCTTAATCCCGATCCATTCCATCGCCAAGATTACGAAACATGCGCTCGCATATACGACAATGCGGAATCGTTCTTCGCACAGAGATAAGCTGAAGTTAAACAACTTTAAGACACGAAAGAAGATTTTGATAGTTCGCTATACAAATGAAAATTATATAATTAAAAAGATAATTGAAAATATTATTCAATATAACTTAAACTTCTAATCTCAAATCAGATTTAAAATTTGCATTTAATTATATTATACGCTGTTAAAAATTTCATAAAATTTAATATACCTTTAAGTTACATAATTGAACTTAATTTCATGACATTGCATTAAATTTGATGTATTTATTATATAACTGAAAAATATATTTATGTACGTGTACATGAAATTTAATGTATACGTTCATTACATTTAAATAATTACTGTAACTTAATATTCAATTAAATAATTTATTACTTTTAATTTCGTTCATAACCACGAGCTTCATTTACATGTAAAGGTTTACATTTCTAACAGTGTACTTAAATTCAAGCAATAATTTAAGTAATGAGATAAATATACTTAATTACATACACTTAACTCAAACAACAAATTAAATAAAAATTGCAGTGTATGACTTGGTTCACAAATATTTTTCTATTATACATATAGATAGAGTAAAATTACTATACTCTATCAACAAAAAAAATCTATATCAAATGATAGTATTTCAAACGATAGTCCGCGAAGTGTCAACGAGACACGTTTTAAGTTAACAAATAGTAAGCGATATCATATTCCTTATTTATATCTAAGACTAGATTTAACTTGGTACTATTTCGTACGAGCGAAGTTTTTAAATCCACAAATTTATTCTGCGCATAACGAAATTATATTGTCTTTCTAATGAAAAATCATAAGCTAAGATGAAAAATATAAATCCACGAACATCTTCATTTTCTCTGTAAAATACGAACAACAATATTAAATTAATAAATAAATTACAAATCAAAATATATGTTAAATATTCAAATAATTTATTAACAAAACTTCTTCAAAATTTAACAGAATTCTTTCTCCAAAATTTGTTTTAATAATATAACTGATATTCAATGTACATTAAAAATATATATTGTAACATCACAATGTTTTATTAATTAGCTGAGAACTATTTATGGTAAACAGAATATAAACTTAAAACTTATTTCGAGATACATGATCCCATGTTCTAAACCGATGCAATACTTTG